TATTTCAGCTCCGCTTGTGGTCATAAACTTCGCACGGATTCGCGAGTGAGTCACTCTCAAGATCTTAAAAGATTAACGTCCTGGATGAATGAGGTCAGATCGCTCTTTTACTGTCACGCGTCATATACAAGTAACATGTGTGTTCTGTGTAGGCTACTCTCATGCTTACATAGATAGGAAAGAGAGGTAAAATAAATGTGAAGAAAAAATTATCAGCATGTTAGCCGAAAACGTAAGGAGGTTCTGGCAACCGGTTCAATTGTCGGCAAATTTTGGCCATCTCGGAGCGCTGGGCTATTGGGAGCGTTTGTTTCAACTTGCTAGTTTACTAGAAGTGAAGCGAACCTGCGATGATCCACAGAACAACAATGGGCGGGTCTTTCTCGGTATGCATGTCCAATGTGAGGGTAGTTCTCAATTTTTTTCCCTAGTCCGGTAGTCAGGATCAGTGTGAGACAGATTACGGCAGCTGCCCAGGAAAGATGAGAACACACAAGCAGTAGCAAATTTCATGACAACATCAAAGGGGTCTTTAACACAAGCAGAGAACTACCTGTAACATTTTCACGAACTGGGTGTCGAGGAATTCATGGGAATCAAGTGGAAAAAGCCACAAAGTAAAACAATCCATCCAGCCGCCTATTCAGGATGAAAACAGCTGATCCGATGGTGATCAATTGATCGGTGGGCGTGTCGTTGTTGGGGGGGGGGGGTACGGATTGTTATATTAAACCTTGCTAGGATACTTAGAGATCACTTTTGGTTGGAAAAGACACCATGTAGGGCTCGTGGAACTCTTCGGTGACCGACGTGTTCATCTTACCTGCCTAGGGGATCTATCGTGCACTTTGCTTTAAGGCCCACATTGCGGTGACACCTCTACTGCCTTTGCACTTCCTTCCTACCTTGTTTGGGCATCTGGAGTTGGATCTAAGCAAAGCCAGCCGACCTACTAATTTGGTTTCCGGAGTTCATACTTGGGCCTCCATGGACTTATAGGGCCGGCGGCCACTGCCCTTCTGCGTTGACTATCCTCTTCATTACCGCTACCGCGGCTTTCATCTCTTGTTCTACCATTTGGACCATTAACTTACCGAAGTTTTGTTTGATACGCTATGTTTTGGCCTGAGCTGTCTACAGCTAGACTGCCGGTGACAAGCAACAAAATCATTAAAACACAATGGCGGTCTATCTAAGCATGGCTCGTCAACAAATCGCTCCAGCCCCTGCGCATCCTGGAAGAACCGAAAGGACAGTGCAGTGACATCGCTAAAGAAATGAAGAAACTGAAGAAGTGCTCTCGTAAGCGTCATCTATAAGCTAGTGCTTGAATTCGTCAATGCTTCGTTTGCAAATAGTCTTTGAATTAATTATGGAATGTACCAAAGTCATGCTAAGCGCTCCGTTCATCAAAAAAACGAGAGACCCTTTAGGTTGAAGGTTGGCTAAGGCAGGAGGCAATCGAAAAAAGAAACGAGGTGATTCGACGTTCCCTAAAAAAGCAAATTCTGCTAATTAAAGGCTGACAAGTGGCGACAAGTCCCAGATCTGCAAAGCAAGTTGGGCTGGGAGTTCGACTTCGATTGTTTGGGAACGGTAATTCTCCAAATAGCAATGCCCTTTTCCTGATTTTCACGTTTGATGCTGAAGGTGGCTTTCCTTCAATGATGTCCAAGCGTGCGGAACGGCTGATAGTTACTTCAACGATGACGGATCTTCGAAGGAAATAAGGCATTTAACAAGTTTCGGCCAGTTATCGACATGTCAAGGTGGTAATAAGTTTTTTGCGACATTTTCTGGTGTTTTATTTTGAATTTTTCCTCTCTCCAATAAGGGTATTCCTTTCCTGCGCGCTCAATGGAGAATGCTACAATTGTTTGGAATGTCATGGAATAAGGTTTTTTTCCCCTCGAATTACGATTTGCTTAGAAATGGGCTTCATGCATATAGCTCAATATTTGGCAAGAGTCAGTTGATTTAGTTGACTTTCGCTGGACACTCTGACATAGTTGAAAACGTCGCAATCAGTGGGGGCGGTTAGGAGGGCGGAGCGAACCCGCCTTTGTCTGCCTTGTTTTACCAATGTTAGGGGTAGAAACGGCTCATTCCGTCTCTCTTGAAACCGCTCCGACCAATTGCGGCTATATAAACTGTACAAAAAGAACGACCAGGACTCATCATGAGTTGGGGGAATAACGCATCTGTGAAACAGGAAAACCGCGAAAAGTCAATAACCGGTGAAAATTCTTCCCAACACCGCAAATTTCCCTCAGAAGATGAACACGGCCCTCCCTCTTTCCTCAACTATCAAAGAAAATTTTTCGGACCGTATACGACCCCTTGCTTCCGGCGGCCAAATTCCGCTCCCTCTCCCACACGTTGGGGAGTCCCCAACGATGATGTGCCCTGACAACGACCCCAAATTCTGCATAACATTCACCTGTTTTGATCCTCAAGGCGGTCCCGAATCAATCGGTCTTGGGCGCTATACGCTTCAAAAAGGATCACTCTTCAGAGAATTTACCTGTTGTTTCCAAGACAGCCCAAACTTGACTAATCATGGGCCTGAATGCTTCGAGAGGGGCCCACTCTCCAGAAGAGTTTAGCCATGTTGTGTTCTGAGGCGGAATACTCCACCTTGTGCGGTTTTGGTGGGAGCCTGCTATGAGTGGGAGGATGGCATATGCTGAGGTTAAGCAATGTCAGAACGTACCACTTTGCCTTATGAAAGGGTTGAACTACCGAATATGACGTGGTTTAGCCTTCCCCCCCTGAAAATCGACTCTTCCCAGGGCCCTTATAATTAGCGCACAACCTCGAAAACATATCAGATCTTTTTTTTTCTCGGAGTTACACTAGACAACCTTAACCCATTGCGTAACGCGGCTTTTTCGCGAAAACGGGCGCCTGTGGCCGACGCCTTTTTGTCGACGCGACTCGCAGCGCGCCGAGTGTCATAAAAATACGACAAATGTAATTTTTGTCGTATTTTTATGACATAGAATTATTGTATCTAATTCGTTTTATATAAAAATTTTATATGAATGAATATGATTAGTATAATTGAATAATATTACGTGATAAAAGTGATGAGTCAGAAAATGCGACAGTTGACAAAAAGGTTGATAAGTTCGAAAATGTTTGGAAATGGGACGTAAGATGTTTACAGATTGTTCAGTTTTATTATTTTGCGATTTTTAGTGGAGTCACAGCCAGAGTTTTGGCTTGACTGGTTACTAAGAAATAAACAAAGGATTTAGTAGCTGAAGAATTTCCCAAAAAATATCAATAACTTCGCTCTAGTTTGATTCCACAATTTCCCACACATATATTTCTTTCCGGGAGACTTCACAAATATACTGACACTCTTGAGTCATCGAACAATGCTAAATAAGTTCAAACGAAGCGTGCTGCACCATGTGTAGCACGCGGCCATACAGAGGCAAACGAGCGTGCTGCACATGGTGCAGCACGCGGTACGCAATGGGTTAAACTTGATACGTAGCCCTGCGTTTCAGCCAATATAGCCAGCATTGTGCAGTATAGTATATCCTGGAGTGCTTCGTGACCTTTTCTGCTTGCAACTCGCGTATATGCGCTCGCACAAAATAATGCTCAGGTGGTCTCCAGTTTCCTCTACACTTCACTACTAGTGCCCGGGTCTTTATTTTTGCCAGAGCGTTCATAAGTCAAAAACCAACATTGTAGTTGCATGAGAGCGATTAGCGCAGAATGAGAAATGGGTAGGGCACATCCCAAGAGAATTGTCACATCACAGGGTGAGTTATATTTTCGTGTCAGGCCGTTCTGTGGCCTTCACTATGGCCCGTTCCGAAGGGCTAGCTGACGTATGTTACTTAGTAGCGAACGGACATCAGTGACTTTGACGGTGGCATTGGGGGTCGTGAAATATGTGTTTCCCTGCTCACTGAAGGAACCTTGACAGGTCTGCGAGAGTTTTATAGAGGGAACCATGGGGAGGTTAGTAGATGGTAGTGAATAGGAAAGCGTGAATTCTAGTGATAGGGAAGGGTATGAAGAGTTCGTACAAGATTCTCCAGCCCAATTTGCTGCCTTGGGAAATAAATAATACTGCCTTGGGAATCTACACGAAATTACCGGCAATTATAGAAGCCATTTCTTGATTCGACTTGCCAGCTCACTCCCTCCCAACGAAACAAACCTCATTTCATGGACTTCTTCGCAAATAATTTTGGGCCAAATATTTACTGACTGAAGTTGACAGGACCCGCTCTGCCGTTGGGGAAAAATTGCAAAGAACAAATTTCGCCCCTCCCCCAGGTTTTCCTTTTCTGGTCGACTCTCCTCACCCTCCTCCGTGTCCCTCCCCCATCCTACCTACCATCTTACTGAACTCTTCCATTTTATTATACAACCGTTCTTTCAGAAGACACCATTATTTCTCCAAAAGACTGCTATCAAGGGGGGGGGGGCAGGAGATCTAGAGCAGAGGTGAAACGGGAAATAGAGAAATGCCAGCAGCTGAAAACACTTTTCTTGAAGTCGAATAGGATTTCTAGTGATCAAATACGAGCCCACTCCCCTCTTGGGGATCCCCATCGTGCGATGTGCGAGTACCTGTCTATATACTGTATGACAGCGGAATGAGGATCACTGGATTCAGTAGGACCCGTGGCCGAGGACTTGCTCCTTTATCAGTCACGCTTTTGTAGTTCAGCTTCACAGACAGTTTATTAGGGTGAGCTCTGCTGAATCGCTTGAGCGTCTCTCTGATCTACTTAAGTTTTCCACATTGCTACCGGAGTGCGGAGAGCAATTACCCTTGAAAGGCTCTAGTCTAACATTTATCACAACAAAATGAGTGCTAAGGATCACAAAACTGATAAGAGCCCTAGAAAATCAAAGTGGATACAATTCGTCTACGCTTTGTTGAACAAGTGGTAAAGGAGATTAGTTCTGATTGTATACTCCGAAACAACTGTCAACAATTTCTTATTCAGCTCCATACAAGCTAAAGACTATACTTTCGAAATCTTTTTGAACAGAGTTGTTCGAGGTGGGCATGTACAATATCCGGCATCCGATCCTGGTACTCCAGGACGTCCTTGTATACCTCGTGGTCCTGGCTTGCCGGTCTCTCCTCTATATCCAGGTAATCCTGGTGGTCCCATAGCACCAGGCAGCCCATCTTGGGCACGGAAACCACGCTTGCCGGGCTTACCTGAAAAGGCTGGGCATTAGATGGACAAGTGATTTGAAAATATACTGAAGCAGAAGGATGCTCGACCAGGTTCGCCGTCCTTTCCTGGAGGACCTGGGGGACCTCTTCTTCCTACCGAAATGACACCATTTCTTCCTGGAGCGCCAACTTTGCCAGGCTCACCTCGTTGGCCTTAAGAAATAATTCGTCATTACAAATTGGATATGCCTATACATTAGCCGTACCTGGAACTCCGGCGTCTCCTTCAGGCCCAGGTGGACCGCGGGGTCCAGTCCTTGTTGTCAGTCCCGGTGAGCCTGCAGTAGCGAAGAGAGTTTGTCACATTTCACATTGTGAAGCAGTGAATTTTGTCATACCTGGAGGACCAGGTGGTCCTTTAGAACCCTCCTTTCCTGGGCTACCACGGAATCCTGGAGGACCAGAAGGGCATCGCACACAAGCCGTGTCTCGTGGGGCACACTCAATGGGTTTATAAATGTTGAAATTATCGCGTCCGGGTGGACCTCGTTCTCCCTTCACTAAATTGTAAGTAGTGTACTTAGTTCGGTTTAGGTACTGTATAGGAAGCAGTGTTACTGCTAAGATATACAGTACTCTAGAAAGTGTGCACCTGTTAAAAAGGCAGGGGAAAATAATAAAACTGAATGTTATTTAGATCCAAATAAGTTCCGTCAGAGTGCTGTACCGCTGAAAGCCGAGTACCATCACAGTCGGTCTTATTGTTAGCACTCGTGAGGTACCGGTTGTGAATGTGTGATTAGTGCGAGGCTATTCTGCGATTGGTGAATCCCTCGCAACTACGAATGGCAAGCCCCCCTCCCCTTCCACATCCAAAAACCACTAGTACTCTCTTACTATGTGAGTCGAGGGGAACACATTCACTCCTGTTAACTTTTGTAACTTAGCGTATTTTGATTTCAACCGTCTTAGGGTGAAGATCCAAGAAAAACCTACAACCAGGTGCTCCTCGGCGTCCAGGAGGGCCAGCTGGACCAAGTGGACATTTGAGACGTATGGGTTCACACTGACACCACGATGGCAGACGTGATGGCAGCGTGAGACGACTTTGCCGTGCCTGCAATAATAATCTATACGGTCATAGAGGCTAGCTCGTCTTTGAAAGAATAATTAGGCGCTGTTTGGTTTTTTGTGGGGAGGGGGGGGGGAGAGGAGGGGAGCTCCAGCAAAGCGAATGGCACACGAATTATGGTGCTATGAATGAATTCAGGGCACTCGGATATCGATTAGATCGCTCTATGACTGA